AAGGAACTGCCCAACTCTCTTTCAGAAACCACACATACCTCAATCTCATCTTTTTCTGTGTTCTTGGGTCACTGATGCCGGCACAAACATCTCTCCAAAAGCACGAAGAGCAAGACCTATCCTGGTTCACACTCCCTAAATTTATTTCTTAAATTCATTTCCTCGGTTTCACAGACTGCATTTAAATAACTGTCTGAAAAGTTGTCATAGCAATGTTTTAATAATGCTAAGTAGCCCCACACACCACAATTCACCAGCCCTGTTAAGACACAAAGACAATTTTGGTCACACAATCCCTCGCATGGACAAGTGGATACATTTCAGTTATTTTTAACTATAATGCTAATACGTAAGGCGACAAGCTCTGAGAATACCTGAATGATGCCCCTAAAAAATAGATCTCCCAATATTTTAAATGTAAACACATTTTTAAACAACTTTTAATTACAGCTCCCTGTTCTTGGTTGCAGAACTTTGACTCAGGTGAAGATTCCTCGCTAAAATGTCAGCATTAAACTCAAACAACAGAGAAGATGCTTGTAAATCTTAATGAAATCAAGCAATTTTACTTTGTCTTCCAAGACTCAGTACAACACATCAATAGTCAGTTTAATAAGCCTTGAATTTATACTATTCACACACACAAAAAATAACTCTCTAGCATCATATTTACTACAGCAGTATTTACATTATGCCCCAGTATGAGTCAGAAAAGGCAGCTGCAAAAATGAGAAATCCTCATGTATACTGGAGCTTGATTTTTGTAGCACTCTAGGGAATAAAAAAAGAAAAGCTCACATTCACACACTCAGCAGTAAGTTCCACAGCCCAGAGCAGTCATCTCAGGCGAACAGCCAAAGGGTTTCTGACACAAGGTTGATCTTATTTTGGAACCACACTGGAGAGCTTGTCATCACCGCCTCATCACGTGTAAGACCTCAAGCTACAGACATACTTGTTTTACAGAAACAACAGGAACGTTATCTGACTCGCTACACTGGAGGCGTCCCTGTTCCAACCTGTTTGAAGATAACCTGTGGCAGAGCAGGACAAAAGTGCAACCAGATTTTGAATACTTATTTGCGTTTTGGTTGGTGAGTGTTTTTTAATTTACTATAAACTGCTTGAAGGATTCCTAAGGCTGCAGTAATGCTAAGAAAAGGGATGTAACCACCCACCAGTACCATCCTGAATCTAAGGCCTCTGAGCAGTTAAAACTGTAACACCGCAGAAATTCAACCACCAAAACTAAACACACAAGTTTTACTTACCAAGCCACCTATGCCATCTCTAGAAGCTTAGAATTTAATTTACGATATCTACACATACAGGCCTATATACACGTTCATGTGTACATTAAGAAAAAACAGGCTACTGAAAGATACTGGATTACACCACTGAACAGAAATCCTGGTAACTATAGTATAAATTCAGAGAAATAATTTACTTCAAATGAAAGACGATTGTAAAAAACTTCAACTGCAGCCTCCTAGGCCTGTGCTACTTGCATTGATTACAAGTACTGCTTATACACAGTAGTTTATAAAGAATTTTACAGGGATGTACTTGGTAGGATAAGTGACCTCCCTGGCACGATAGCTTACAGAACTGTAAGAGCTGTGACAGGGGGTCTACACAGCTTTTTACAAAGCATACTAGGCTCAGATTTAACACTGAAGTTAATCTTCATCTTGTACTTCAATAAGACATTGTCTGACTACCAGTAAAGCAACCTGGCGTTTCTAGCTAAGAACAGAAGGCTGAAAATGCTGGCCTTCCAAGAAAGCTCTGTGACATTTGGCTGTGAACAGCCTGCTGTATCCAGCGTGAAAGGACTCTGATCTCTACAAGTTACTGCCATTTTTAACATGTTCATAGTGAAACTGTTTATCTACTGTCAAGGATACCCACTCCAGGTAGTTTACATTTCCAATAAGGGTCATAGTGGGCTCCAAGTGTACCCTTTTTGCTTCTTTTTTTTGAACCAAGTCCCAAAGTTATTCTCTATAGCTGTGTCTGTATAACACAGGAGGTACTGTGCATTCAAATGGTAGCAGGTTTGTATCTAAAGATGTGAGACTTCCAACAAATAAAAAGGAATGAATTATTCTCTTCAACTTCCAGTCTTCAAGGCACCTCCTGCATTAACTTACCAGGAAATAAACAAGCAGACCAAAAGTTCACTGGAAAGAGAAGAAGCTGATACACCTAACTTCCTCAGAAGCACACAGCAACAAAAAATGAGACTAGGTTGGACCCAAATTATCAACAAATAAAATCAATATAAAAATGCTGATGAGATGACAGGATGAGGTTGATGTTTTCAGCTTTGTTGACTGCAGGCGATTGTTAATCACAGTGTTTTCTGATGCCCATTTGCAGACGGCTTTGTCTCCGAGTCTCTTGGATTGTTTGATAAATGAAGTTTATCTAACCCTGCAAAACATTGCACAATAAGAAAAACTGAGATTCGCCCATGTTTCATGCATACAGGTGTTCAAAAGAATGCATACAAACCAAATTCTACTTTGTGATAAGGACTTTTCGCTGAAGACCAGAACTGTTTCTAGCTCCGATAAGAATTCCTTCTGGGACATGTCCTCAGTTGCGTTTTAAGTTGAAAAAGTCCCTCACAACAGACAAGCATGGAAGGGAGAGAGGCCCAACTGCATATTGCTTAAATCTGATGTTAAGAACTGAGTAAGACTTTCAATATTTTACTCTGCCAACCTACAAAGAACAATGTAATTACCTAAAAATATTTCTTTTAAAGTATAGAAGCTTTGTGAAAAGCATCCGCTTCTGATCTTCAGATCACTGGTCATGACCCCATCACTTCTCCAAACTGTTTATATGTTCAATATTATTTTTAGGCCTACGTTATTAACAATTTGTTTTATCTCCATTTCCAGCCATTTGTTCTTATTGCATAGTTCTCTACTACAAGTGCTAATTAAGGTCTCCCATCCTGCCCCAGGCGAGTAGTTAAACTGCTCTTTTTTTGGAGAAAGGTGGGGAAAGATGGTACATTCAGCTGCATTTTATTCACAAGAGGCATGATGTCAGTCCTTCCTTGCTTGCTACACTTTCTCTCTGAAGTGTCCTATCAAGTCTCTAAAATTAAGGATCAAAAATGGAAAGAGTTTCTTACTCATTTAGCATAGACTATAAGGAACATCTTACTGAAGTACCATGAGGTACCAGGCTAAATTTCTGGCATCACTGGAATTCCCAAATTGACTGCATTACTCAAAAACACAAACAAACAAACAACTCCACAGTACTGTATTACTTGTAAGTCCCAATATTACATGAATTTTTTTGGTCACAGGCCTGCAGTGGGATGTTAACTTCCAGTAATTAGCTATGATGATCTACCAACTCTAATCCTCAGCATCACAGTTCCCAGTGGGTGGGAGAAATGAGCACACAAATTTTGGCTCCCATTCTTTGAATTCCATGAAACATTTTTTAACAGACACTGTTATGCATAGCACTTGAAAACAAACCCGGTTTGTGTCAGGAAACCTACACTCTTCAGGATTTATAACTTCCTGCTTGTGTCAAATGTAAACCTTTTACCAATTTCTTCTCCATTTTGATCACAATATTTTCACAAAATCACACAATATATGACAGCAAGTGGCCAAAAAAAAGATCCCTAAAATATCCCTTAAAGTGGTGCCATCCAGTGACCATTATCCTACTACGCCTGCATTTTGAAGTTTGTTAATTTGCCTTTATTTTTTAACTAAATACTGTATATTTAATACAGTGATGTGCCATGAATTATCAAGATAAAACTTTTAAATCATTTGCTTTAAGACAGAAACTTTAAAGTTTTACCAGACCTGTTGCTATAAGCCCATGCTGACTGATGTTAATTTATTTCCTTCAGAGCTCTGCAACAGCCATTACATTATACAAAGTAATCCCTTTACAGTCAAAACAGTTGCTCCAAAAAAATAGGATTATGTAAGTCAACTGAAAGAGATGAATCGAGGTCTTCTCATAAAACCACCTTAACTAAAAGCTGGGGGATAATGTCAGATACATCACACTTGCATCATGTATCTGTCTCAATCAACAATGGAACTTCTCTGAAAACATTTTCGGCATAAAAATCAATGGAGAGATTTACACAGCCCTGGCCCACTAATCCGTTCCCCTGGAGCTTCAAAACTCGACATCAAAAATCACAGAATGGCTTGTTTTAATCCTACACTATCAGTCATTTTGTATTTCCCTATTTAGTAGGTCTGATTTTAACTTACTTGCCACCAGTAGAGGCGCACTCTAGGAAAAGTTTAGGTTTTGTTTACCAGGGTTGCAACTGTGGAAAACAGTAAGCACTGAAAACTAACGGGAATACCTTTTAGACTCTATAAACTGTATCCACAGTTACAAACAACACTGAAGTTTCACCATTTGTCCTTTCAATTTCAGCAAATACTATTCTAGGGTTCTAAAGAGGTGGGAGCTTCATTAATCACTAAAGACGTAGTAAAGACACAATTCCTAAATATGTACATTTTATCCTCTCAGTATGAAATATGTTTCAAGCATTCTTCTATGGCAAAGAAACATGAATGCACGATTTGATCAAACTTTTGATATCAAGCACAGGTTTTACTCTGCCAGTTACTAAGTTTCTGTGTATTCTGTAGAAAGATTTTCTGAACAGGAAATGCTCAAAAAAGGCATCACAACAAAGCAGCTCAGATTGCCAAAGAACTATTTTTAGGGAATTAATAAATTGCTTTAAACACAACAGAAAAAAGCAAACCCACACACAAGTGGAAGTTGTATTTTCAAATAATTGTTCAGTAGCACCTGGAGTGTTTCTGTGCTCTCTAAAGGCTGATAATCTAACTGCAGATCAGGAAGTACATGGGCACATCATTAAGAGCAACACTGCACCTTAGCTCTCAACTCTCTCAAAAAATACTACAAAGCTATGCATTCTCACACCTTAACTTACAGAAACTTCCACCGAAAGAAACTTTCTGTCAGTCGTAACAGAAAGTTACCAGTAGCACATCAAGGTATCAAACACTGGAGAAATGAAACGTTCAAGTACAGACTAAACTTTCAGTGCTATATTACCTAATGCTTTCAGGAGCTCTTCTCGCACAGCAGAAGTGAACTTTCTGACCAGACATAATGTTGTCATGATAGCGAAGAGCAAGTTGTAAGATAATACAATATAGAAGTTTCCCAGCCAGTTAAACCTTCCAAAGTCTCCAAGCAGATCAAATCTGGTGATTCCTGTTAAAATTGCATTTAAGATTTACATCAAAGTCTTGATCACATTTTTTAAGGAACAAAAATTTCATTGTATCATTTTTTACAAAGGGAAGCAAAATTCTTTCAGACAACACAATACTTACAGTAGACACATGGTTAAACACCCAAGACAATGTTCTCAAGTAATTTTCCACTTCATTGACCACTATAAAACTGTAAGACACACTTATCAAAGTGTTTCTTAAGTTTCCTAGTGAAATGCTTGAATAATGTGATTTTAAGTAAATTGTCTATTTAGATAAGAATTCTGCTTTTGCAACTTCAGTAAATATAACTAGGAAAGAAAAACATCAGTATTAGTATGAGAACTGCTTGAAATCTCAGTTCCTATGAAAACCATATCTATTCCAGAAAAGGATGAAATGCACCATGGGCTTTCTTAATTAAAAATATAGGTAGCAAATAGCCTTTCCATTAGAGCCACAACATCTTACAGCAAACACTAAGCCTCTGTAAGTGTTTTTTTTGGAGCCACTGCTTTCGAAACCAAAGTTCGAAGACATCTTTCCAACTGCAGTTTTTCTCCTAGATCTACCCACCACCACAGCCACCGAGCATTTGCACAGAAGGAAAAGAGTTTGACTGAAAGACAGTGCTGACGGGTGTTCACAGTGGACCTCATAGCACGGATGCCTGGGCTTTGTGCTGGTCAAAGGCTAGTCAATCACTACAGTGAGCAAAATTCTTCCAAAATGTGGAAGTGCCTATGAGCTGCAGGGTCCGTCCCAGAAGGCAGAAGAGGAAGAACCATCAGTTGTTCGTTTGCCAGGCCTACATCAGGACTGCACTGAATAAAGGGCAGAATATTGAGATGATACCCAAACAACAGTTGTCTAGGATTGTTGAGCCATTATATTCCCAAAAAGATTTGCACAGACAACGTCAATAGTGTGTGCTCTCACAGTTGAGACCAACAGTGCAAAGGAAGGAAGCTTTCCTCACCCCAGAACTGAAATGGCAGCAGAAAACTAGGCAATCAGAAAATAACCTGGCTCGGAAGTTCCTGGAAGCATGTTTCCTATCATCCTATCTTGAAAAGGTGTGGGGGCTTTGGAGAACCAAGACTTCAACAGTGATAATAAATGAAGAGAGGAAAAATTAAGGGTCAGTTATCTCCCTTTCAAGGGTGAACCTGGCACTTCTGAATCTCACTGTATCTTGATATCCAAGACTTACAGCCAGCTGTCACAATAGTAAGAAATACAAATGCTCCTTGTACTCAGCATCAGTCATTTAAATTAAAAACACAGGAACCAAATTTGACATCTAAGAAAACCATGTCAAAAATTAAGAAAATGAAAAGCAGGATAAAGGCAAAAAAAAAAAAAAGTCACTGAAGCTGATCAAACCAGCAAGAGAAGCAGGGAGAAATGTCAAAAAAGCACAGAAGGTCTTAGCACAGAAAGAAGAAACCAGCCAGCTGAATTAACTGGTAAACGGATGAAGGACAATAAACACAAAGCTGCTTTCACACTTGAAGGCAAACAGTGTCCTTAACATTCTCAAAAGAAGCAGAGTGTTTTAGTCAGACTGTAGAGCTACAGGAAAATTGAGAAAGTCAGGTTTGAACGTAGAGCCTTCCAGGCCTTTAAAGGAAAAGAAACAAAACAGGTAGAGAACTGGGTGTAGAGTTCACTGGAAAAGAAATAATACTCCTGGCACAAAGAGGTTCAGAAGAATAGCTAGCAATAGAGCAGGCGTTGTAAGGACAAACAAAAATTCAGCCTGATACTTCTATTAAAGCAGGTGGGAAAAATACTGTTCATAAATTACATTTTTCTCTTAAAATAAAGTCACTGCTCATCAGAGAGCTGACAGTTATCATTTTGTAAATTTGTGGGAGAAAAGGGTTAAAAAGCTTTCAGTGACTTTCTTACAGAAGCAGTATCTACGCAGCCCACAAAGGATAACATTTCCAAGACTCCAATCTGAAAAACTATTCAGTAGCTGAACAGAAAGCGACAGCTTTAGTGGACACAAACATATACCCAAGAACATTGGCAACAATTTACCAAATAAACTACTAAAGAATTAGATAAAAAAAAAAAAAAAAAAAAAAAAAAAAAAAAAAAAAAAAAAAAAAAAAAAAAAAAAAAAAAAAAAAAAAAAAAAAAAAAAAAAAAAAAAAAAAAAAAAAAAAAAAAAAAAAAAAAAAAAAAAAAAAAAAAAAAAAAAAAAAAAAAAAAAAAAAAAAAAAAAAAAAAGAAAACCCAAAACCAAAACCCACTATGTTTTTAGATTGTACTTGCAAGTAAGTTCAAAAATCACTATTTACTTAAACCATAACACTCCAGAGTGGAATTCTGGGAAAACTTTGTAAATTAGAAATATCGATTTTGTTTGTAATTCTTTGTTTCTGTTTTCTTCACTGTTAAGTGCCCTGCTCCCAGTTTGCTTCTCAGTGGTTGGCGATATGGTGCTGGTGTGAAACATTTCTGAAGGAGGACTATTAAAAGGCTAAAAAAATGCATTAACTTATTTTAGTAAAAACTTTCATTTTCATTTTTAAAACTTGAAAGAGGCCAGTACATGTGTTAGATAACTTCTGCTTTTTTACCTTTCCCATAATGAAGAAGTCTAATCTTTTCCATATAGTCTAGAAACTTGCTTTTTTAATAAAGTGAAAAGGCTATGAATCTGCTTAACATATTTATTTCTTTTCATCTATTCAGTGCCACAGGGCGGTAGCATGTAGTGCAACACACTGATATTTTTGCAAAGCACCACATGACTCACTGTACTCTAATACACTCTATTAATCCTGTTTGGACAGCTGTGACTGTGCATTTGTTAGCTGTGTGTTAATTGTTCCATCTTTTTTCTTCTTTTATTTATCTCTATGGCAAACTATTCAGGAATTTCATTTGTTAGTCTTTTTTTTAAGTGAGTTTTACCATTAATCTGTTTCCTATGAGACAACAATGCACCCAGCATGTATACTTACTTCCACAGAATCCATTTATTATCAACTGTTAATCTCACAGATCATTAACAATTATTTTCTTTTAAACAAGTGATGAATGCAGTAACTTAGTGGACACAATACTAATGTTAAAATTCTATTCTAAACCACTGATTTTTCAACATAGAATCTTGCTCTAAGTGCTAGAACTGTTTTAAATTCTTAGGTCTTTATCTTACTGGCTATACTTTAAAACTGCACTATTTTAAATACTTGAATTGTTCTTTTGCATTTGTGAAGTTTCCCTACAGATTTTTCCAACATTACCTCTATAATGTGTATTTTAAGATTCAACCCTCCAAAATGCATTAGAGGTGGGGTTTTTTGTTTGTTATAGAAATGATCTAGTAAAGTCTAATAAAACTCATCTATAGATACATACACCATGAAAATGTACAGTATAATTTATCAGAAACCTAACCTTGCAACCTAACTTCGAGAAACCAAGTTGAAGATTACCTAATTAAACAAAGTGAAGATACAAAACACCTTGACTTTCCACAGTTAAAAAGAGTTTTTCCACTTCAAATGCTACTGCCAGTTCTTAACAATAAAATCAGAACTTCTTCAGTTCATAGTTCAGTACTATGCTGGACCCCAAATTTTTGTGTTTGAAAACAGAAGTAACAAAGAATGCAAGCAGATTATTTTAGGGAAAAATGAAAGTAGCCTGGTATCACTGCTGATAAAAAACTTGAGTGAAGAGTTATTAACTGTTTTTAAGATGACATTTACACTCAATGTTATCTCACATTTTAGACCTGAAATCCCCAAATGTTTGGTTGGTTGGTTTTGTTTGGGGTTTTTTTTCCCCCACAAGAACTGAGCACTGTCACAGTGAACATGAAACTATTTTATAACACCCTGATCAGGCAGTCTCTGTACCTATTCTTCCCACCAGAAGTTTAAAAACCTAACCTACCTTTTTAGAAGAATATATTCTGTAGAAAATGCTTAGCATCTTTTTTTAGAATGTGTATTCTGCATTCACGTATGTAGAATGCATGTTCAACAGCTCATGTTAGTGTAGGAAAGGCCACACATATATGTTCTTTCTACAGAAAACGATGTCAAATCAAATACATACTATGAAAGTACAGTCCAGGCTGTTTTGGGAAAGTTTTTTGTATTGTTAACTCAATTAAACATCCTTTATTATAACGTGTTATACTTCCACTTCACTTACCCAGTGTCCTTGACATCACTGGCAAAGCAGAGCTCAGCACCAAGATTGAGACACAGTTTCCAATGATCTGTTGAAAAATGACAAAACAGCGTTTAAATTAGCTATGGGATTGCTGAAGGAAAAAGGAAAGAAAAACAGTGGTCAAGATAAGAAAGAAGAAATCCTGAAAGTTACATCCTTTAAACTGAACCTAAAGCAATTTACAGTAACATATTGTTAGTCCTGCTCACTTCTGTCACACTTCTCCATATGGTGTTACACAAGATGAAGATGATCCAAGGGATGAAGTAAAAAAAAAAAAAAATCAAGTATGTAATCATTTGCTTTTAATCATACTTAGATTCAAAATAATTCAAGACTACCATGTTGCAAAGCATCAACTGTTTACTTAATTCCTGCAAACTTCTGATAAAAGACCTATTCCACAGGCTTAGAATAGATGACTGATACATCAGCTTAAGCTTTGTATGTAACTGCTTGCAGGATTAGCATTATTTAAAAAATTACAACAAAGAGCTTCCTTTCACTTGAATGCCTGTTGACTACTTTAAATAGTAGGAAAAAATTCACAGCTGTTAGATTTTACTCCAGTTTTTGTGAAGCCTTTGTAAAGAGTAATTGAAACTTTCTCTCACAAGAGATCACTTTCTTCAGCTCTAATTCTATCAGAGTTTGAAACACAACAAAAAATAATTAAAAAACCCCACCTTCCTGGAAGTAGACAGACATTTCTGCATTCACTGTTTATTTCTACACGATTCCTGGTGTACTGTAAACAATTACTAGAAAACATTCCAACTCCCTATTAATTATCTACTATAACCATTCTGTGTGTTTATCTACTTCCTCACTTCCAGCAATTTATGGTAAAAATGCCTGTACTTTACTTCAGAAACACACAAACAACAAACAAACAATGAAATACGGTGAAAAACTAATTAAATGTTATCTGTTCCTTGGTTACTGAACAGCTGTGGGAATACTCTACCAAAAACCTGAGCATGTTCTTCTGCATTAGGTAACAGCACTTGTTATTCTGAAGCCAGCGCTAAATTGTAGGAAGTCAAATTAGCCTCAGAATGCAAAATGTTGCTGAATATACCTCCTCAGTCTTAGTTTAATTATTCAAATTTGAATTACTTTGTCTGTATTACTTCTAGCAACCAAGTTCTTCAAACAAGCTCCCTGAAGTACAGTTAGAACAATCAAAGTTACTCATTAGCAATACGGTTCCTTTGAACAAAGTTCTTTCACTAGCTTTTCTATAGCTAGTTAACAAGCTCTGCTATTCCCAGCTTTTTACAACTGAATGGATGCCATCCAAACTAAACAGAGCACATCCTTTTTCCCACTCATTCAGCATTTTGAAAATCTTCCAGTTTGTGTTTACCCAGCTTACAAACAAATACTGATCACCGCAAATGAGCCATTCAGGGCAATTACTAACTAAAAGAGTCAGTTTGTCTTGGGTGGCAAGAACGAGGGGAGGGAGCCATCACCCATCGCAGACTTTACCTTACCTTTGTCATAGTTGTGTCATCCTTCCTGGGAGTGAAATTCTCAAAGAAGCGAAGACTGTAGAAGCCGACGACAGAGGACACCATAAGATAGCTGTGAGAATCAAGGAAAAGGGAACCTTCAAGGAATGCGAGTTTCATTCAAGTTCTCAGCAGTCTCCTAAAAGTCTTAAGAACCAAAGGGGAAAAAGAAAAACCCACAAAAAAACCACACCAACAAAAACCACAAACGCTTCAAGTGCTTGAGAAAGACCGGGCTGTATCTCTTCTTCCCAGGCAAGTGTCTTAGTAAATTACCAGTGTCCCAGAAAACTAGACACAATACTTGTTAACAGACAGAATTCTTAAAGAAAGGATACAAAATCAAAATGATTTCAAGTGCTGCTCCCACAAAACCAAAGGTGGATAGGGAAGCATTTCCTATTCCAGGCCCCTACAAGGAGAAAAATATTTTGCATGATTTAGTAAGATACATGCAACCGTGTCATAAAGTTAACTTCCACCAGGACCAAAGAACCTAACATCTTACATGAAATAGTCTTTTCTCAGTTCAATGTTTAAGGGGCATTTTGATGTCCTAACCTTCAAGTCTCCCATCCTATGCAATGGCATCAGCTAGCTTTCAAACCTGAGTGAAATGTATTACTAAGACAGAAAGTACAATGATTCATATTTTATGCATATTGCATCCCACCATGCTACATTCCATACATACTCCATTACTTCGGAACCTAAAATAAGAGGTCTCAAAAGGTAACACTTCTAGTTGTTCGCAATACCACAGACAGAGTGGCCATCACTGCTAGACACCTTTTATGGCTCTGAAAGCTCACACAGTGATACACAAGGGAAAGTATTACTAAATTAATACAGAAATCCCCATTATTAAAGACACTACTCCTCAGTGTGCTGTTCTTTACTTTCTTGAAGGATTTTTATTATAAAAGAGGAAAAAATGCCATGTTTTCTAAGTGCAACACAAACCAAAACAGGCTTTCTGTATTGGTTTTTAATACAGCTTTTTAAATTGAATTTAAAAAATGAACATTTCTAGTCCCTGTAAAAGGACTAGGAAACATGAGGAAAATACAAATTCCAGATTACTGATTTACTTTAGGATCTTCACTAAGATTCTGGACTAGTATTAAGAACACACTATAATATGACATGAAATAAATGTTTATGTGCACGCAGGGCCAAAACCTAGAAGCAAAGTCAAGGTGGCGGCTCATTAGTTTCAATGTTACTAAAGCACAGGTTCTCACTTGCACTTTTCTAAGGGCTCCAAAGCTTTACTACAGTTATGAAAATCATATATAAAGTTTACTTTACCCCTGATCCCTTTGGCATTGCAGTCTCATCAACCAACAGGTAAAGAATGTTGAGAGCAACTAAGAGGACTGAGATGGACTGCAAGGAAGCAGAAACAGTCTTGTTATTTAGAAGTATTCCACGTTTTTAAAATGTAATCATTTATCCCCACCAGATTTTGCAATGTTACATTTTTTTTAAAAGAAATGGTTAAAGAAAAGAGTATCAAGTTTGTTGTTTAAACACACATCACTCAATTTCAAAACAATCCCCCCAGATGACAAAGAATTCTTCATACTTTTTATTGGGGAAAAAGGAAATAAAAGCAACAATTCTTACCGTCTCAATCAGTAGCAATATCATAACAGCTGGATAGACTAAATTCCTTTCCCAAGCAGAAGCTTTTTTCCTCCGTTCTGTTCAGAGGAGAAAACACAGAAGCTTAATACTGTACATCACCTTAGAATAAAACACATAAAAGTCATTCAGCTATCTATAAGCACTTGTTATAACTGTGGTTAAGAAAAGTAATCTTGTCTTGAACTGACACAGACTAGTTCATAAAAATATCCACCCTGAAGAGCTGTACAAAGCAATGCCAAAAATGAAGCCTCTTTAGAGAAAGGCTGGGCAAAGAGAAGCAGATGTTTTTTCATTTACAGGCATGTTTCACTACAACACTTCCACACCCCCCCCGGAATAGAGCACTTCTGCAAAGTTTAGAATATACCTAATTTTGAAATATGCTGTTTACATGTATATTTTAGTACAACCTAAAGGGCAGAACAGAATTTCAAATATTTAAACAGTATTTTCTTCTTGCAACGTAAGGCAAGAAAGACAACACTAACTCACCGCTCATGTCTAGTATGTCTAAAAAGAAAACCCAATTTTTCTTTCCAGTTTTGCACATAACACACCAATAAATGCAAAAATCCTGCAAACCTCTGAATGAGGAGACCCCTGTCAAGTGGCTGCCATTACCACAAGTTATCACTTTTCAGTTTTTAAAGACACAAATTGGCTAAGAATTATTTTACTCTTCTTAAAAACAATTTGACTTTTATAGAAGTGATTTAGAAACACAAAGGAAAGTAATGTCCTAGATTATCCCAAATAATCGTAAATGTATCATTATATATATATATGAGAGAAAACATGCTATTGAGCTCTATGCAAGGAAGTTAAGATGTTACAATTTCTCTAAAGTTATGTTAATAGTAAGATTCAATTCAGACTCCCTACTTCAATTTGTTTGCTAAAGGGGTGCAATGATTCCATGCAATGTAACTTTAGAAACTACGATGATTTGAAAGGATTGCGAATGCACAAATTTGGTTAAGAACAAACTGGAATCAATCAAGTTACTGCTACAAGCTAAACGCAGCATCTTAAGGTCACTTATTAAACTGCAATCCACAGGAAATTGTAGGAGAAAAAAAGTTTATTACCTAGATTTGTTTTCCTGCTTTTCACTTTTTCAAGTTCCCGTTCCAACTCTGCTGTCTGGTATTCCACTGTGGAGGACAGACCTATTAACACAGAAGACAGAATTTTCTTTTGGATAAGACTAACTATAGTACTGTAAGCCAGACTGTGGCAATTCAGATTTAGGAAGCACCACATGAACACTTGTGGCTTTAAACTTCAGGTGTTTGAGACTTTTCAACTACTTTTCGAGAAACAGAGGCTTAGTCGAGAACCATCTAATTCTGCCTAATCAGAAGAGTTCAACACATCAGAGGTTTTGCAGTGTGACCTTCTTGGATCCCTGCCTATTCTGTTGGCTGGCTGCTGCAAGAACTAAGAACAGCTACTGCTGAACTGCTGCGCAGGTCCAAAACCCAGTCATGGTGTGGCAGCCTGACACTGGATGTCTCAAACACCTCATTCTTCTATCTCTCGATGATTTGTATATCAAGATGTAAAGAATCTCTGAATGTCCTTCAAGGGCATTATTATTCAGTAACTAAAAGGCAAAGTAGACCATTGCCTCCAAACTAAGTAAGCTGGTGGCTAGACCTCCAGTTTCAGCTGGTGCCACTTCCTCCCTTTCCCCAGTCCTTTTTACTTGGCAAACTCAGTTTCCATACTGCTGACCTGCTTGTTGACTTATTTTCTGCTTGTATCTGTTCACCCTATTTGGTCAGTCTCTCTGTGCCACAGAGCTCCCTCTGACAACCACAATCAGATCTTCCTCACAACCACATGCGAGATCACATTCTTTCACTTTCCTTTTTACAGTTCACAGCATATGCATGTCACTGTTGTGCAACTCCTCAAACTCTCCTCTACACCAGCTGAAAACTGACAACTGTAACATAAATTCCTCTCTCCCTTGGTAATTTTCTGCCTAAAAGTTGCTCAGCAATTCTTCCTCCTATCTATGGCACGGGCTCTAGGAAATCCAGCCCATTTTCCCTCTCTATCCTTCTCCTCTTCTACCTTCCACTCTCTTCCAACCACCCATCTTCTCCAGTGCAAGCACACTGTGGTTTCTCTCCTGGATTCTAATTCCTATACAAACACTGCACAGTGTTGAAGCAATGATACACCTCTAACACTGACTAGAGATCTGCCATTTCAGTTCTGATCTCATTTTTTATACTTTAATTTTTAACCTTTGTAACCACATACTGGGAATATTCTTCCCAGCATAAGTTAGAAACACTCTCCTCTCCTTTTGCCCTGCTTTCATCCCTTTTTTCTGCATAAGCTCACCTGACAATAAGTTAAGAGGGCTCATATTTTCCCTGTCTATTCCAAGACAGGCAACAATACAAGGTCTTAATAAACCCTAAGTCCTGTTATCTTCTTTCTCCATTTACATTGATGCCCTTCACCTCATGACCGTTCCCCTACCTGTGACCTCACCTTTGATTGTGGGCTAACCTGTAATAGCACCATACTCCAGGTACCTTTTTTAAACAAACTCTAATACATTTCTGAGATTAATAGTCTTGTCCAGGCTTTTGTTTCATATCTTTATCATTCACCTACAAGAACTAAACAGCACTCCAGCTGCTGGCAGACGAACACTACTTTATATTCCAGTCTCATTATTTCCTTATTTTCTGTTGTCTGCTCATCCATCCAATCTCAGTACAAGATAAGGTAAATTTCTCAATCCATCCAGCTCCCACACTCTCCATATTCCATCACAGTGAAGTTCTACCTGAAAACCAAGATAAACAAGAGTATTCCTTGGACTTCAAAACAAAACAAAACAAAACAAAAAAGCTAAATACAAAACCCCACACCCAAGAAAGTTCTACGCTATTTCAGAGTATTACTACTGATTTTCTCAATGAGGTATCCAATTGCTTCAAAAATTGGTTTTTAAATGCATAATTGCATGCTTCTTTCATACACATTTTTGTACATAACACAACCTCTGTGCTCTGATTAAACATCTCTCTTTGATATCAGTGACATAATGTGTATGTGGCAATAGTTACAGGGATTCGAATATATAAATATTTCATACCCCAGGACCAAGAAGTAAGACCTACAAATGCTGTTTTCTAACAATTTCTTTCCACTTGAAGTACCTGCAATATGAATGTCAGCTTAACTTCTCTGTGTGTTTAAAATAAGTTGTCATAATACGCAGGTTTTCAGAAAAAGCTAGCTTTCAAAAAAATATCTAATTATCATTATAAAAATAAGGGTTTGTGCTGATGCATTCCCTCTGATAAAAGTCAAAACCATCTGTTTTATAGAATGACTAATTACTATGAGTTGAGAAAAAGTATAGCTATAGAGGCCAGTGGAAAAAGTCTCAAGAACTTTAATAGAAGCAGTTGAAAAAGAAAGAATACGAGGTAGCATCTTATGTTTTCTTTTTCTCCGTAGTTGATTTACGGGTCTCTGAGGAAAAGCTTTGTTCAAGATATGTGTTGTTTCCAGCCCCAAATATAAAAATCTAGAGTTTAAACCACTGATATTCATGGGAATATTTCCAACAAAGTCAGCGTGATTACATTAGGTCCCTAAGAGATACTTCAATAGAAATTCTGAATCATATTTAAGTGCTGTTGTAGTTCCTCCTTAAAAATAGTAGCAAACAACAGGTTGCTATACAAAAGGACATTTTATGAGAGGGAAGGCAAAGTTTCAGATCAGTCAAAAGAGTATTTGAAAAGGATGCAGCTAAATTCTTAAAAGCTCTATAACATTAGCTTTATTTCAAACATGCACAAAGTTCAATGTCAGCGCTGTCTAGCCAATAAATCAAATCGGTAGACGAGACTTGTTTGGACTAGCAATGAAAAGTTAGAAGGGATTCTCCAAGAAAGCCACAAAGCAGCTCATTTAAGGTCAATTTAACGGTATTATTCTGTTTTTCTTCCAGCCCCGACATAAGATTTCAGTACCTCAAAGGAAATTGTAAGAGTATCTATTTGCATTCCCCCTAGGTGATTGGCAGTTCAACACCAATTAGTTCAAAATTACACTGTTACTAGCGTGCAATAAAAACAACACCTTTCATCTTTCTTACATAGGTAAGGATACCTTCAGAGCCAATAACTTTGATCAAATAAGTATTTTTGATCCTACCCCACCCGTCTCTTTGGATTCAGGAAAACTAATAGCTGAAGGCAACTTTTTTCTTTTAATATAAAAAAAAGTCCCAGCTTTATTCTTCGACTGTAGGAGTGATGTGGGTACTGAAATATAATACACTGGAAACAAACATTTTCCCAAAGCCCAGTATCTCTTCAACAGATAAAAATACTAGGGTAGATAACACGATCAAACTTTCCCCTCCCTCCCTCCTCCAATTTTCGGTTATACACTGTAGACACCCGAGAAGGAAGAAAACTAGTTTCCGCAAAGAAGATACACGGTTTCACAGTTAGATATGTTTTCAAATATGATGAGCTTTACAGAATACTCTATCAATGGCATCAGTCACACAGTTAAATCTGTATGAATCAAGAATGGCACCAGTTCACACAGCTAAACATTTTTCCTCCTCTGAAAACACGCTTTACCCAGCCCATTCAGTGGGAACAGCGATTCATGTTAGCCCTTTCCTATGTCAGACACTGTCTGAGGAAACATTAATTATGACCAGGTAAAGCAGTACTAGGAGTGTGACAGCCATTATTCTACCAAGGGGAAAATAAAATAAAATAAAATAAAAAAAAAAATCAGCATTAACAATCACCAAGTATTACTTAAGCCTGTGCTCTGGTCCTCTTCAGTTTTAACAGAAGTTCAACTTCCAGGTTATACATACAAATGCAGTATACATTTTAGAACACTCTACTGCAAACTGTCCAGCAGGGTTACTAAAGCACATATATTTCCACTACTGCAACTATAGAAGAGTTGTGATAGTGGAATGGCACAGGAAGCATGTAGCCTAATATATCTGCTTTGATACAGCAACAAAAAAATACTTGCACGATTTGTGTGTTAAGTCACGGATTATGGCCTCTAATATCACAGCACTGCATTTACTGACAGCACCACACCTCTAGTTGTATACATTTTTAAAAAATGCAATAAACACTGCAATAAAAAAAATGATGAGTCTTCATCATTGTGGCAAAAATGGTATCTATTTTTCTGGGTATAATTTCTACGTATTAGAAACTTCTGGCAGAAAAGATAAAACTTTCCACACTTGCCACATAATTAAGAACCATACTTAAAATTATGTAAATAATTACTCACAAAAATCTTGCAGGGTGTATTCATGTGCCTATGACATATTGCCCCTCACCTACAAACTAAATCCAAGTTTAGATTTTTATTTACTTTTCAGCTTAAGTCCATTAATCTTCTCTGCACACCAAGCTATGGTTTTTCAAGCATTCCTTCAGACAGTGGTGTCAATACATTCCCTCAGCATGTGAAACAGAGTTCAGTTCCCTCTCCTGCCAACGAACGTTAAAGCCCCGTGTCTTTCACCTCTCATGAGTAGGCTGGTGAGAGCTCTGTGAAACATGGGTGGATTGCAGCTCCACTTTATGTGAATACTAACCAATTCACTGAAAAAACCTAGTCTTTTGGCTAGTGGTGAGGGGAGCCACCTGCAGACATCCTTAACCCAGACCCCATGAGTAGATGTCTACATACAGGCTAGGTCTACCTCACAAGTGATACTACTAAATTGCAATATGAACAACTACTGCAGAGACTTCTACACAGAACAGTAGCAGGCACTCATCACCTAAATAACCGCATTCTCTACCTGAATAGCGGAAACCACTCTGCCCTACATCTAATAGATACCTGAATAACCACTGGGTCATTTTTCTGTATGGCTTTTCTTGTACATAAGCACAATCACCATGACAACATAAAATATTCAGTAACAAATATTTTATGGTTGCTAGCTAACATCAAACACAGAACAAGAATTACCCCATCGCAGCTTCAAAGACATTCACTACATGCACTTTTTGTGTATGTGTATGTGAATGCATATAT